GACGTGGTTTCCCACTGTCACCTTTCATCTTCAGCTTCGCTATTGATGAAGTCATGGTAGTCGCGTTCTAGGTCACCACTTAGAAGATGTGGATCTGCACCCTGGAGAACGACTTCTTGACTTAGAGTATGCTGATGATTTTCCATAATGTGTGAAAGCTCACAAACGTGCCAAGCGGCACTGGACAGATTAGCACTGGCTGTCCGTCATTTCGGGTTTTGCTTCTTGTCGTGTTGCCCTCATGGAAGCACGAAGACTGTGCCGCGATCACGAAGTCGTTTATTAAGATTACGCTCAAATATTTACGGAGCATATACACTATTTATAACAGTCCGTTTCAATGGCTCATCCCTGTTCTTTGCATTGTGTCGCTGGCTCCTTTTCCATTGGTTTCTGCTTTCTCGCCACGTTCACTCTGTCTAAAATCACCTGATTTTCTTAGTCGATGTACGATTGGCGGGATCGGGCCCCTCGCGCTTCTTCCCTCGGTCCAATGCAACAAGCTTTGGCTCAAGGATGCACGAGTATGCGCTCCTTCGCCTGCTGACACCTGATTGGTGACTTGCACGTTCATTGGATGGTTGCAGGCTGGACGCGATCACGGGCCAACTATTTCCTGATTGGCTGACCAGTCTGCTTCCGGCAACATGCTCACTCACTATCGGTCTGGCCTGTAACGTTCGATCGGCATCACAGCATTTCCAACCACCAGCCTTTCCAGCCCTCATCACACCTCGCACCCTCGAACTGCAAAGCGTTCCTCCAGGATTGGCCTGGACCGCCTCCTTCGCTGACCCGTTTGGAGATCAGCTAGAAGTCGTTCAGAAATTCAACTATCTGGGAAGTTGTATCAGCGCCCGTGGGATTGAAGATGAGATCCCAAACCGTATTGCAAAGGTTCGAGACACTTTTGCTAACCTTTGCCACTTATGGCACGGGCGCCATATCACTCCACCTGTGAAGGGTAGATTGTACGATACATCGATACGTTCGACCCTACTGTACGGTTGTGAAACCTAGCCTCTTAGATCGGCGGACATAAAGAGGCTAGGTACGTACGACCACAGGTGCGTTCGCAATTTAGCTCACATCTGGTGGGAACACCGAGTGGTGAACGGGTGTGTTCGTCGCCTTGTTTACGGCACAGGAAAAGGAAATGAAGCGCTGAGCACCGTTATTTCACGCACCAGGCTCCGATGGCTCGGCCCCGTGTTACGCATGCCAGCCCACAGACTCCCGCGAAGTGCGTTGTTTATGCGCCTGCCATGTGATGGAAGAAGAGGAGAGGGGTGGCCAAGCGATGACTTGGTCGAGAGGAATGAAGGCCCTCACCTCGGAGCTGGCCTCGGTTGGAGTGTCTCGGCTCCCTGGTTGAGGTCTGAAAGACGATGAACACGTTTGGCTGGATACACTTGTTGATATGGCTAGGAGCCGACCTCAGTGGCATTCATACTGTGAGTTACTTTGTCCCACCCTATCCCTCTTGGCCTCCTCTCCAACCACAATCTCATTACTTCGCATTTTATAATTTTGCATGGTGAATTATTCTTTCTGCTGCATAGTAGCTGGCATATAGGTTACCGGAACGATGCTCATCTGTTATTGATAACTCAGTTGGCTTGCACCTGTTGTACTGCTCCCATTTTTCATTTATGTATTGCGGCACAGTAGCTGAGCTGTTTCCCACCTCTAGCTAACATGTATAATGATGATGATGATGATGTTATGCTTGACTGCAATTCTTCCTTTTTCTTAGTCACACGAGATCGCACTTGCGAATGCTGCGGAGATTCGTTTCCCCTTTACTCTCGTCTTCGGGTACACGTACAAGCTGTTCACTTGAATGATTACTATACCGTGTGCAGCATCAGTCTGTAATTCCTTCTTTCTTAACCTACCGAACTTGCGTGGTGTGAATCAAATGTTTGTAATTAACAACCGTTTTAGCCCGTAGCCCTCAAGATCACAACCCTACCTTATAATCTGAGGGCGCGGTTTCGAACCTGCGTAGGGACGGTTCGATCCTCACATTATCCTTAGCCCACGTGGGACCGGTGCTGGTAGCTTGACAGCGAAGCGTTGGTACTGCGTACCGGCGTACTGCTGATGCCTTGGCTCAGTGTTTACTTCATTAGTTTGTTGCATTTGGCCCGATTTGTAGGCAATAATAGTGGCCTGCCGAATGCGGTCTCGCAGTCACACACTGTTGAGTTGGAAGTCTGCTGACTAGATTATGATCACGGCGAGATAAGTATTTGCACTATGCATTTACCCATGTTTCCATCCAAGCTGAAGCGGCAGGGTGATTGTTGCTTTGGGCCCTTTGACGCTGTTTAGTTTCTCGTGGTTTCATATCTTTTCTAACACACTTTGTCACATTGTTAAGTCTGATTATGAGTGGCAGTTCAGTGTATACATCAGCTCACCAGCCCGAGGACGTATCTCTATCCCTGTTTTTAGTATGCTTATCAGTATCATGCGTGACCCTTTCCTGCTGTTAAAATATTCAGTGCTTAACACACCGAATGCGTTCTACGCGGTGTGCCAAACTACTGCTTTCTGCGTCATGAACAATACTCTTAGTGCTCTCAAAGATCACACGATGTTTCTACTGAGTGTGAGCTAAGCTAATCCTTCTGCTATCTAGGCTTGGACAATGTGACAGTATTCTGTCCGCGCAATACAACTCCACGAACTTCTCTCTACACGATTTCTTGGTGCTCTGGCCGTCGCGGAGGATAATAAACGGTGCCCTATCTGCTGCATCGAGCAGGGTGGATTGAGCTTCTGATACTACTCCTCAGACCTTCCCATTTTCTTATTCCCCCGCTTGCAATTTTTCGTCCTTAACGTTCCTCTCCAACTACTTATACCCCTCGTTTTCAACCTCACGATACCTGATCACCCCCCATCTTGCTTCAATAGTCGCTTGTCTTCAAGTTTCAGCTCATACACTAATCCAGTCGACAAGTCCATGTTCAACTAAGCGGACAACCTCAGTTCATCCGTTTCTTTTTGAAGTCCTCGATCCTCGCTAAGATTGGTATGCCTCAACCTGCTCACTTTGCTGCAGATTGGCCAACAAACAGCAATTGCCCGAGCACTCGAGACCCTATCGATCGAACTTTGCTGTTTATCGGAACCTGGTCTGTACGATTCGAGTTCCGTGCTTATGCTGCGATCCCCAATATACCTTACTGGCAGCACATTCTCATTGCGCCTGTCTGGAGATGGCGCAGCTTGAAATGGTGGTCAAGCTGGCGTCGCCATTATTTTGAGTTCCCTGGCTGAAGCTGCTCTGATGAATTGGATCCCAGTCCACAGCCGGATTTGTGCCGTTAGATTAGCTGGTTCCTTCCAGGCTTCGAAGTCGCGCGGGCACAAACGCCTATGCCCCCACAATCTGCAGTCTTGATTCGGTGAGAGATGAATTCTATCACCAACTTAACGGTCCTTTTCGTTACAAGAGAATCACGGATACTGTACTGCTGGCTGGTGGTCTAAACGGATAGGTCGGAAAATTATCCTCTGATGAGCTTCATCTGGGCGGCCAACACGGTGTAGGCTCCCGTAATGATAACGGTGAGCGATTGCTACACCTTTGTGAAGATGCTCATCTCTTTATCGCGAGCACTAACTTTTGACATAGCACTCGCAGTCCAAAGTCGCAGGGTTTTGTAGATTCGCGACCTCCGTTCGGTAGTGGGCGCACTTAGGTGATCCTCCGAAACGCATGCAAACCTTAGCACGAACCAATGCGTGATCGGAGTCTAGAAAAGTTGACCAGTACGATCGGTAGTCCGTTACGCTTCCGCGCCATCTGTAGCTGATTGCTACGTGGTCAAGCTGGGAGCACTCTTGCGTTTGTGAGGGCGGGCGCCAGGTAGCAGTGTGTCTCCTCGAGTGCCGAAAACTAGTGCTCGAAAGAAACAAGCGGTGAACAGAGCAAAGAGCAAGCAGTCTGTCTCCATTGTCTGATCGACTGCCACCGAGACCAAAGCTACCCCCAAGGTGGTGCTCGCTTGGTGGAAGGCGGCCAACCCGTGCGTTAAAGTCCCCGGGAAGAATGACTATATCAGTCCGTTCGGAGGAACGCAGAAGTTTATGTAGTTGTTGATAAAAGCTGTCTTTAACTGCATCTGGACTGGAGTCTGTAGGGGCGTACGCAGAGACGACAAACAAGGCACGCTTAACGTCTCGACGCCTGCTTGCGTTACATGAACCTCTTAGTCTGACTGCACATAGCCGGCTGTTGACTGGGATCCAGTCAAGCAGAGCTGATTCAGCCCTGGCACTCAGTACAACCCCAACACCAGCTTGACCAGTGCTCACACGATGTGACGCGCACGCAAGGTCGAGTGGCTTTGGGGTGAGAGAAGCTCGCGTCTATTGATCGATGCCGTTTTGGGTCGGTTGTCGGTGAGATGAAGTCCACACGATGGAGCTAGGATCAGATAGTGGGAAAGCCGATTTGCTGGTCGTATTAGGGAATATGGCGCAAAGTACCGCCAAGAGTTGTAGATTGCGATGGTATGGAGCTGGCGAATTGGTTGTTGAATAGAGCTGGTAATTCCGAGCCGAATGATTGGAATTTGGTTGATGTACGTTGAGATGTATAAGGAAAAATCCACGGCAGAGCGGAGCACGGAGTGATTTGGAAGGTTTTGCAGAGTTTTTGTGAGAACCGTCAGATATCCTTCAACACCTGTTCCGATTTTGGAAAGAGGACGCAAAACGGGATTAAGTGGTGTATAGTCCGCGATCCGTTGAGAATGCACGTAGAAATCAAGCAAAGTGTCAGAACTTCGCTTTTACGTCTGCCGTCAGACGAATCTGTCGCTAGTCAGTATTTCACGTTACGGATCCTTTAAGTTGTTGATCATTATCATGACATGCATGTATCGCAACATGTGTACAACTTTTTAATATCTGTTCCCATTCTGCACCTTTCACTCTGTGTGACTCATCTGTAATTGCTCACTTTCTCACTTTCAATCCAGAACGACGCCCCCATACCTGCGAGCGCTGTGGCAAATCGTTTTCCGAGAAGCGCGCTTTGCAGAAGCACATCCGCTCTGTACATTTGGGTAAGTCTATTTTAATGCGCCACTTATGTTTGCATTCACCACTTGATTTCATCGGAATCAGCGTCGGGATTTTACAGTGAAACCATGTGTTTCTGTGCCGAAGTTGCTACTTCTCATGCCAACCGGTTTAAGGTGGAGAGAATACGCGTACTATATCCCTTGGCTTTTGTGACTAGCCTCGTGCGTCGGTTGTCTATGCGGGGTCAGTTTACTTTATACATTTCTCTAGGCATCGGTTTGCTTATCCTTTAATTCAGCTAAAGTCAATCACGCTCCTATTTTCTTACTGGCTCGACAGAGTTAATATCACTGTTACGAGGAGCCCGCTGTTTGTTGTTTTCGTTCCGTCTCGGGTCGAGCACACGGGGCGGTACAACAGCCTGAAATTTTTAGCAATCGATTTCTTAATTTATTTAATCTAGATCACTCAGACAAACTATGACATTGTATCTGTTCCTTTACCTATCACTGTTGCATGTGTTCTGGTTCTCCTGTTTGGAATTCGAAGTCGAACTCCCTGTTTCATTCCGGCGAGATCAACGCTGTGAGAAAGCCAGTCTTTCTGTATGGATCCGAGACATTAAACGCTTGTCCGTGTTGGACCACCGGTGTTTGCGGAGTATGGCGCAGGTCTGGTTAGAACACCGAGTGAGGTCCTCCTGTTAGTTTTTAGAAAGAAACCTGGTTCCTCACTCGAGTGTTTACTGAATTTTAGTCGCTTACGTTGGCTAGGCCATGCTCTCCATATGTTGGTTGGCCGGCTTCCTCAACGCTATATCTACGCTGTGGCTGCACAAAGTTAGGCGAAACAGCGAAGTGGCCAGTCCATGACGTGGCATGGAGGCATGAAGGAACTGACTGCGAGATTCGGTCAGGCTAGTGCTTGTCGTCTTCGTCGTTTGGGGTCTCGGAATGACCCACACCAATGGTTGGAGATCGTATCAGATATGGCGCAGCCATGCAGTCAGTAGCGTTCCTGCATTCGGTTTTTTGCATCTGGTTGTTAATTTTCATTCTGTTCTGATCAATTTAATTCCTTTCCTTTTTGCCTCCATTTTCTCGACATTCTCTTTACATCCGATCCTGCTGTTTTCCCAGTGTTGTTTATTGTTTTTCTTCCGATGTGAGTCGTGGCAACTTGATCCACGGGACTTCAGTGTTCGGATCATAGTTGTCCGACTGAACAGAACTAATGAGTTCTCGTAATAATCATTGTCACTGGGGAGAGCCCAGTTGGTTTCTGTGGCAGTCAAAACGGCAGGTAACAGAAGTGAGAGTAAGACAAGCTCGGGCGGAGTCTTCGCGTTCCGAGTGGACTGCGCAGCTTGTGACCGTATTCTGACAGTGTACGCTTCGATCTCCACTTGCATCGTCTCTGCCGAAGTCTGAAGTCTGCAAACGTATCTCGCACTATCGGGAATTACCAATTTATTTTTATTTATTTTGTGGCTAGTTCTTTTGCGCATACTTTTGATCACATCTCGATGGAGTGGTGCAGGGTTACCTTCTGCTTGCTCCCGTAATACGGTGCTCAGTGTTGTTTATGTGGTATCGCCGTCACGCACGAGCAATGTTTCGCACAAAAACTATTGTCGGAAACTGGCAATCGTTTCAAATCTTTTGACACACCATAGACTACCTCCTCTAAGACGGCGCCTGTGGAGTATCTGGCAACTCGGCGACTCCAATGACTCAGTTTAATGTGTGTTTAACAATGTGTGGAATTTCCTCTCCAACATCATCTGCCCTGCAACTCACTGGATAAGCAAATCTATCAACTTACTCAAATTATTCGCCTACTTCAGTGAATGCAGGCACATGTACTAGCAATTTCCGAAGCAAGACATTGTCCTTATGTCGGTTAAACTTCTGACCATATATCGTTTCCTTTATAGGTAAGAGATTCAAAAATGTTTTCCATAGTCTGCAGATCCCCCAAAAATGATGTCATCTGAATAATTAAAGTCCACGACTTTTTCGCTTAGGAGAAGCTGTTCGTCACGGGTCTCTGCATCTTTCATCGCTGGTTGGAGTACATCCACAATGGCAATGCTTACTGGGTGTGGTGAGCTAAGACAAAGTTGGCTTACAGTGCTGATAAACGCAGGCGAAGAAAACCTCCCAACAGGCCATGACTTTACCGATCATGTGACGATACATTTCCCACTAAATTACGACAAACTTGTCATGTAAATCGGTCATGCATGCCATTTCACCGAACATTTTTGTGTAGTGAATTGAGAGCGCTTGAATATTCGAGAACATCGTGATTGTTGTTTACCGGTGAATGTGACGGTGTTTGTGAATCTGGCCGGAGTGAAGATACATTGAATGTGACTCCTTTGAGACGGATGCTCCCATACGGCTGTTAGCGACTGAAGCGAGATGAACACCTATATGCCTGCGGAATTTCAGCATAGTTGGCGCACTCCTGAGTGGAGTAATTGTTATGTGGTAGGCAACTGTGCGCTAACTAACCGCACCGGGTAGTGCTCATTCCTTTTCCATTACTTCAAGGCTCATATTTTCGTGCTCCCGAGCTGTGATCCAAGTAAATTCTGGTATCGGTCTGGCTGGGGTGCTTTTCTACCGGGACACCGGCTTCTAGACCCGTTCTGTCGTCATCAGCACGAATCAGAATCGATTGTTCCTACTTGGAGGGTTGAACGCACGGGGAAATTCATGCTGAAGCTCTGATGTTTTAATATCTCAGCTCTTCAACGTGAACCTCACTTCCATTATCCGCCCTTCTCCTTGCAATGCCTAGAGTTTGATGGGCATCTAGTTTAGTGCGTAGCGATGCGTACACTGGGGTACCGAGCAGTGGAGACTAGTTGACTTTCAGTCGCTGCTTTGATGTAAGGCAGGTTTGTTTCCGCTTCATACATGCATTGTTCAATGCGCGATAATCTGGGGTTTTAGACAGATATTTACCCTGTCGTTAACGGTTTAACGTCGAAACGTCATGCAGTAGTTAATTCTTTGGTTTTTTCGTGACTGTTTATGACCTGCTTTTTGTTTCAGGGCAGAGAGAACACACATGTAAATACTGCAAGAAATCTTTTTCCTTAAGTTTCGACCTTCAGACACACATGGAGGTTGTTCACTTGAGTAAGTTCTACACAGTCTGTCTATGATTCCTTCCAATAACACCCTGTGTGTACGTGTTTGTATCCATTGTTGTTTGTACTGGACTGCTCCTAATTGCTTATTCCATGGGTTTGTTGCATTTGGGGAGAAGCGCAGGGGACAGCGATGGTCAGCCCTTTTTGGTGTCTAGTTTAATCTTGCAGCCACAGGCTACTGAGTTATGGAAGTCAGTTGACTACTCTGTGGCGATGGCGAGATGAGACAGGGCCTAATGCAATTATCTATGGTTTCGTTCAGGCCTCAGTAGCAGCGGAGTTGTTTAATCGTGACTTCTAACGCTGCTGAGATTCTCGTGCTTCACATACCTTGCTGGCACATATTGTCTACCTGTGCAGGTTGATTGCGAATGGCAATTCAGTGCATACGACATCCGATCGCAAACTCGGGAGCGTTGCTTCACTGTTGTTGTATTATATTTTCGTTACACGTTGATGAATCTACTTTGTCTGATAACGATGCTCTCATGGCATATATCCGATTCTTCACTGATAATAGACGAATAGAAGAGATGCGGTTTGCTAGGGGAATTAAAACTAATAGAAAGCGCTAGTCTATATCTCAGGTAGTCAATAGCTATCTGACTGAAAGAATTTATTGCGGTTCTAGAAAATGTTCCCTCTACTGTTCATACACTACTTTGCATGATTCACCGAGAGTGGATAAAAGCTTGTGAGGGCGATTAAACGATTGTCAACTGTTATATTGGTAGTTAACCATATTAACTCGCACTCTCTTCAACATTGTCTTTTCCAGCATTTATGTATGGAGAACTGTGAAGAGTTCCAAGTTCTCCTGTTACACGTAAAATTTAGATGGCTCTCTAAGGGCAACTGCCTTCAGCATTTGTTACACTCTGGGGCACCAACATCACATTCCTTTCTGGAACTGATTATGAATAACTGTTAACAGCTAAGCCAGATGTGTTTTATCTGGCTGATGTTTTTAAAAAAGCCAATTTATTAGATAAAACTCTTCAAGACAAGTTGAGTAATCTCATCTCGAGCAAAGAAGCCAGTATCGCTTTAATCAAAAATCTCGAACTGTATGCTCGAAACATCAGACGTCGAGAAGTTTCAGTTTCTTGTACTTGCTACAGTCACAGAAAAGCTGAGTGATGAAGACTTGATTGTTTATGCCAGTCATTTACAACAACTAGAAAGGAACGAAATCAGGTTTAATGACGTGATTGAATGGAAGTCCTGATGTACAGCCCTGCGATTTTGAAGTTAAAATTCAGGAAACTCTCATGGAGCTTCACACCAGCAACATCCAAATTCACGCACTATAAAAGGGATTTTTGGATAACTACTGATGCCCCCAACACACATCTCAGACTGTAAGAAATAGTTGAAATATAGTTCTTTGTTTTCCCATTCACCTTCATGGTTGAATGTGGATTCAGAAGAGCGGTTCCCCTATCAGAAAGTGCAAACGGATTGCACGTAACAGAAAGAAGAAATATCCGAGCCTCACGGTCAAGTCTGGAGCCGGATATAAGCTAGCTTGCTCAAAGACATTAGGCCCAAAGCTCACATTAATATCTCGACAAACATTGTTAAGAGGACTACACCGCCTCATTCATGACATGCCTTACAGTTAAATACCAAAATAATTAAACGAATTTGCATTATTAATGATGAGTTTTTTGTAATTACAGACAAGCGGCTTGATGTTGCCGCACGATGAATGTTATCTTGAGGCTATGTAACTTTAAAAAAATGAGGTTTACAAAAAGCAGTTATAACAACATTGAAAATTTAGCCATCCTAAAAAGTATACCAATATGATTATTGGAAATCACATCTTTCCGTCTGTTGGGCTTTGCGAATTGCTCAGATTCTAGTGATCAATAGTGGGCCACGGTTGGATAACGGTTGAGAATGCGTGGTCTAAACCATCCACCAGAACGATACAACATGCAACGCATACCCCAATATTTCACCTCTGCATGTCACCCATGCAAGGCTGTGGTGCTTCTCTACCGGGGCACCGGCGTCGAGCTCCGTTCTGTCGTCTTCAGCACAAATTAGAATAGATCCTTCAAAATTAGACAGTTGAACTAACGGGGAAATTCATGCGGAAGCTGTGTTGTTTTGAAATCGCAGCTCTTCAACAGGGAACCTCTTACTTCCTTTTGCTGCTCATCTCTAGTTTAGGGCGTAGACACGCGTACACTTTGGTATCGAACAGTGGAGACCAGTTGATTTTCAGTCGCTGGTTTGATGTAATGCAGGTTTGTTTACCGCTTCATACATGCACTCGTCAATGCGAGAGATCCACGGAATTTTAGCCAGTTATTCACCCTGTCAGTAACCAGTTAACTTTGAAACCTCATGAAATAGTTCATTCATCGATGCCGTACATGACTGAGCGTCCTGTTTTTTTTGTTCCAGAGCAGAGAGATCACCCATGCGAATATTGTGGGAAATCATTCTTCTTGAGATGCTACGTTCGAAGACATGTAGAAGCTGTTCACTTGAGTAAGTTCCACACCGTCCGTCTATCATTTCTTCTAATAACACCCCCTGCATGTACGATTTTGGACCCAATAATGTTCGTACTTAATTACTACTCGTTGTTAACTCCATGGGTTTGTTGTATTTGGTTTGAAGGGATGGGGACAGTGATGGTCAGCAGTTTGTGTTGGTCAGTTTAATCTCGCAGCCACATGCCACTGAGTTGTAGAAGTCAGCTGACTATACTTTGGCGATCGTGAGATGAGGCTTTCCATAATGCTGTTATCTATGGTTTCTGTCAGCCTTCAGTGACAGAAAGGTTGTTGAATCGTGACCCTTAATGCCACTGAGCTTCTCGTGCTTCGCATATCTAGCCGGCACATTTCGTCAATCCACGCAGATTGATTGCGAATGGCACTTCAGTGCATACGACATCCGAACGCAAACTCGGGAGCGTTGATTCACCTCTGTTTCATTATGTTTATCGGGCTCTTACATGGATTTTCCCTATCGTTAATACTTTCGAAGGTTATAACGCCGAATGCATTCGACACGATGAGACGGCTATTACTTCCTGCGCCATAAACATGACGCCGAAGACACTCATTACTCCCACTGTGTTTCTACAAGACGTAAGCGAAGCTGCGAATGCACCGTTGGTCGAATGCAAATGAGTTCTTCATGTTTGTCGATTTTTATGGGCCAGGTTTCACAATCGTACAGTAACGTTGAACTGTACACTCTATTTTTCAGGGCGAGCGTAACGTCACAGCTACGCCACATGTGGTGAAGCTTGGCAGAACCGGTTCTAGCTTCACTTGTACGGCTCGTGTTCTCATCTCTCATTCTACCTGCTCTGAAAGGACTGCTCAGGTTGTTGAATCTGAACTATTTCTGGATTACAGGGTCGTCACTATCGGTGGCGGTGCTGCGACTATTGACGTTATGTGTGCATGTGCTATTGCAAGCTTTACTTTAACTCAACCCAACGAGCTCTTCAGGCGTCTTATTTTTTTTGCTAGCCAGTCTTTGGAGGGTGAAAGTGGCAAGGGACTTAAAGACGATGGCGACCAAACTGACAACTCTATGACTGACGCATTGTGGACTTGAGACCCACTTGAGGATTTCGACAATAACGAAGACGCTGCAGTCAGGTGGAACAGTTTCACTATTGACTCATGTCATCCGTTTACAGGAGATCTACCGAATTTGTAGAGAGCTGTAGGGTGATCATCTGGTCCAGCAGCCCTATTTATTTTCAGCGACTACTGAGCCTGTGGGCGGATAAAAGGGATACCTGAGGAAGCGGGCATATCTTGACGGGCGATAAATTTGGCGATCCTGGTCGGTTAAACTACTTTTCATAGGGGCTACATTTTGGCAGCTGTTCATACACAAATTTACCTGCTGCGTGTTTTCTGTACGAGGCTGATTATGCAGTTTGCTTTCATCTGCGACAAAAGATGAGTCTACCAGAATCCGAAGTCTATCTTCAGGCTACCTAGCAATGTTACCCTGAAATCTTTGTTATTCTGATTGAGTTCACTTCCTGGCGGAACATGTCGACCAGCATTTAGGACTTCTAGATACTTCGTAAAGACCCAATGACCACGTTTGCACTGAGATGTGCTGCTAATGCCAGCGTTTTTCGATATACGTTCAGAACATCTTTCTAAGCCTAGCCGGTTGATGGATGCCTATATGCTCGCAGCCTTCGCGGACGTCCGCGGAAGCACATTTGCAGAAGAGCTGGTACAAGTGAATTATTGTAGTTTGCACTTTTGTTAAATCGATCGGCAGTTTTGGACGCATTGCTCACCATTATCGTCTCGGATGGCTACCCGGTGTTGGTCCCCAGATGCAGCTTATCAGTGGACATTATTTCACCTAGCCTACACTACAGTATCCGGAATTTGTCGATGGCGAAGTAGCTTGTTTAGTTGGTTATAGGAGGCATCTTTCACAGACATTGTGCAACAGCCTTTGAGGACATAGGTAGTGGCTAGAAACAAACACCTTTTGACCTCGCGCTACTTTGAATGAGCCATCCAATCTCATTGCGTATGTCCGGCTACTGGCTGGGATTCAGGTCTGCTAGAGTAGATTCAACCCCAGGGACCTAGCACCATATTATCTCCCTTCGCATAGCTCTCCACGTGCATCACACTTGGTTCATTGTTGAGCCATCTAAAGTTCTGTGCAGTTTGTAACCAGGTGCCCACTTCCTTCTCCCAGTCGTGTACACCACAAAACCTTTCTTGCTTACCTAGGTTGTCCGAAGACCCTCAAATACACCCGAGCAACCGCTTAATCTACGCAGCTGGTGTGACTTCATGGTGGGATTGCGATTCTCAGCGTACCACACTGGTTAGCAATCGATTTTGGAACACTTCATCTCGGTCGTCGCCTTTTCATTGCTTCCTTTACTGTTGTTAACATAGCTTTGTTTACTATTGCAGAGAGAAAGCCCCACAGATGCGAGCATTGCGATGGATGCTTTTCTCAGAGGAGTGTGTTAAGAAGGCACATTGCATCAGTGCATTTAAGTGAGTATTTATTTTAGGGTGTTAGATGTTTTCCATTATTCTAGGTGTGCTTACAGTTATTCTGCTGAGTTTCATCTGATTCTCTGTACCACATGGGGCTACGCGTTGTATGTGTTTCATGTGGTCATGTTTGTGGCAAAATTGGTTTTCGTTCTCCCTCGTGCTAGCGGCTTCAGAAATCTGAGCAGTTCCCTGAATGATTCAAGACTCTACGCACTAATGTTTCTACCTTGCTAGATTTCGAGGCGTTTGAAACCCGATTACCTAAACATGCTCAGAATATTTCCAATAATTTCTAGCTGTAACCATAATCGCTGTGGAATTTCCTGCGCACTGTTGGTTCCGTGGTCTGCTGCTTTTCTTGGGATAGACACACTACCGCCTGCCTTGTCACCTCGCACCAGGACACTTACCGCTTTTCATTTTTAGTGCTATAGTTAACGCTCATATGAGCATGATGGGCCAGTTCCAGCATACCTGTAGAAACTTGGCTGGATCAGAGTACGATATGGTGTTGACGGCTCTCCATTTGCAGGAGAAATCCTGAGAGTGACACTAGTCTTTGTACTCGCTGTATGTTGACTTCAACACTTCATTCTATACGATGAACCGCGATGAATTGTAGGTAGTGCTGGGTACGTTTGCTTGTCCGAGTAAGTTGGTATGTTTACTTGAATGTCTGCACAGTGGTCTGCAGGCGAGGATGCGGCTGAGTACTACAATCCTCGGATGGCTTTGCTGTTGTCTCCAGTGTTAAGCAATGCTGTGTCGTAGCCCCTACTCTGTTTTACTTTCACCTCTGTTCGACCATATCCTGTGCTCTTGATACTGCTAGTGATTACGGTGTCCGTGTTTAGCACCATATTGACGGTGGGTTGCTTGACACCCGTCGTTTCGAGGCGAGAACGCTAGTGTGTGAGACAACCATCTGTATGTTGCTTTCTGTAGAGGACTGTGCGTTGTTTGCGCACATAGCGGATGCGCTGCACCACATGACTTCGGCTTTCACTTCGACAGCGGCCAAATTCCGACTCCCCATCAACACTAGCAAGACTGTCTGTCTTTTACAGCCTACACCAGAAATGCTATCCGTATGTTTGCTGAGAGTCCCTATCGGTGATGACGCACTGGAAACCACTCCGAGATTTTGCTATCTGTGTAGTGTACTTTTGATCGATTGGCAAATGATGAGCGAGTTACCTGTCCTAGTATCGAAAGCGGCTGCTGCGTTTGGAGTGTTGTGGAGGCATGTATGAACCAACCACCAGCTTACTGTTGGAACAAAGCTGCTGGTATACCAATCGATTGTTCTGTCCGTTCTTTCATATGTGTACAATGTGCCGGATGGATATCAGATATCTGGAGCCGTTTCGTCACGAGTGGCTGTGACGGATTCTGCACATCGGTTGGTGCGACGGCGTTGCAGACACTGAAGTGCTGCGCCACCTTGACATGTATGTAGTGGACTGCATAATTATGCTGCGACACCTGAATTGGCTGAGGCATGTCAGCCGGATGACGTCGACCAGGATATCCAACCAGCTTTTGTTAGGCTAACTTAGTGCAGGGAAGCGGCACTTGGAAAAATCGAGCTTGTGTCGCCAAAACATGATCAAGATGAGTTTATCGCGATCTAATGTTGATGTCTGGTGTTGGGAATCAAGTGCAGCTGATCGGCGCGATTGACATGAGCTGCTCAGGAGGACGGTTTACTAGGTGCAGCAGAAAGCATTATTACATGCGGAGGGGAAAAGGGCGGGTGCGGAAGCGACAGGCACCGATGGATTCTAGTCCGTGTTTTTGCGAGTGCCACAGCCAGTTAAGCTTGGTAATCCGCCAGCGTGGCCACGCGGGACTAGCGCCCAAAAGACGACGAGCCTACTGATTATATAAGCATAGACAACACAGCCATTGGTAGGTGTGCTGTTTCCGGTTCCATTCGATTTCCTAACCCAGGCCAATATGGCGGTTGATGTGGTGTGTGTGCTACATCATCGTTGCAGTTTGTCTTTTCCTGTGCCGGCTTGTTGAATGCAACGGTGAGGGCATGCGTCGTCCAGTTGAACTGACATTTTGAGAGAGCGGTTGGCTAGCAGCTACGGGTAGAACTTATACAGAGTATTCAGAAAATCAGCCTGACTGAATACGAGGAGGGAATGATGTACTGACAAGACATCAAACGGAACTCGATTCGTACAGGACCTGCTATTGTTCGCACCAGCAATGAAATCACATCTACGCAGCTGTACCGATTTTACTTTCTACTTGGTATCGTTCCGTGGGTAATCCATTCTCCTTTATGCACTTTTCGTCACGAGGGCACAGTGGAATGTTGGGACTTCGTCTCACGCGCAAATTTAACATCAAATCTTTGTTACTAGCAGATCGCTCGCGCACTGCTCTTTTCGTTCTACACCTTCACATTACGAAATGTGTATTGAATATGGTTAGTATTTCCTGTTACGGATCCTTTAAGTTGTTGATCATTATCACGACCAGCGTGTATCGCAACATGTGTACAACCTTTTAATATCTGTTCCCATTCTGCACCTTTCACTCTGTGTGACTCATCTGTAATTGCTCGCTTTCTCACTTTCACTCCAGAACGACGCCCCCATACATGCGAGCACTGTGGCAAATCGTTTGCTGAGAAGGATGCTTTGCAGCAGCACATCCGCTCTGTACATTTGAGTGAGCATTTTCCTGACGACATCATTTAAGTTTGAATTAAGCACTTGTGTTGGGGCATGCTTTACGTTTTTATTTGCTTTCATCCGAATCAGCATTGCTTCTTTCCACGATGAACCTGAATGCTGTTGTGCAAAGGTTCCTACTTGTCATACCAGTTATTTTAAGGTGGAGTAAATTGGCGTCGTGTATCATTTTGATTTCCGGTACTAGAGGCTTCGTGATCTCTACCTACGCGCCCACTGACAGTAGCTCGGACACAGTCAAAGTTCAGAGTTCTACCAGAACCTACATGAGTCGCTGCTAAGGGCTCCTAAAACAGACATCATTGTTTTGGCAGGATATTTGAACGCTGTCGGCTGCTGCCATGTGAGCGCCACCTCGTGGGACCGCATGGATCTGATGATGTTCGCTCAAACAACGGGGGGAGACTGCTCAGTCTGCGTGCTCATCACCAGCTTTTCCTCTCCAGCTCGAGCTTTCGTCATTCTTCGCGCTCCCCATCACCAACCCAGCGTTGGTCACAACTTGACCACATAGCCATAAGTCGCAGATAGCGCGGCAGCGTATGCGATTGTTGGTCATTTTGGTCCACATGCGTCGATACCGATCATGCACTGGTATGTGCGACCGTTTGCATACGTTTCGGTGGTTCACCTAGCTCCAAGCACACCCGACTGAACACCTACAAGTTGGATAACCCATTGGTGAAGATGGAGTATCAACAAAGGCTTCGTGGAACTCTCGCTCTCCCACTCTGGATGTTGATCAACACTGGTCAAGTCTGCAATAATCCGTGGTGTCGGCCGGTTTGTTCAGCTGTGGCGTTGCTAGCTCCACTCCCAAAAGCTGGATCTCGAGACGATCCTCGCAATTGCTGGATCGCCGACTGATGGTGCCTGCTGACGCAGAGTACAACGAACACCACCTTTCTATTACGCAACAGCTGAAAGCAAGCCTTCGCTCCGATCGTGAATCTTGGTGGTCAAAACAAGCTGATGAGGTAGAATTCGCTGCATTAGCTGGCAACATCTGCCGTCTATTTTGCATCCTCAGGACCACCGGTTGCAATTCCCATGCTATCAGCCAGACGATTTGCGAATCAGACGGCACGAAGACCACCAACGTTCACGGGCGACTGGTTGGCTGGGCAGATCATTTCTCTCTCCAATTCAACCACCCAACACTACCCCCTATGGCACCTCCAGCCCCATTGGATGATATTTGGCCTGTCTCCACAGATCCAGTAAATGAAGCAGAGACCCGAGATACAATCCAATCTCTGAAACGTTGCAAGGCTCCTGGTCCCGACAGCCTGCCACCGGCTCTATTCAAAGATGGGGGGAGTGTACTTATCAGCGAAATCCTATCGCTGTTCACGAAAGTTTGGACTGAGGAGAAGGTTCTGAACTCATTGGGAGAATCGGTCCTTGTTCCGATTCACAAGAAAGGCTCCCGCGACGATTGCTGTAACTACCGCGGAATCTTGTTAATCTCTGTCACCTCCAAAATCTTCGTTTCAGTCTAAATTCGCAGGATTTTGGCGACTAGAGATGAGTTTTCCTGGGAAGAACAAGCCGAATTTCGTCCAGGCCGCAGCTGCATCGACTAAGTCTTCACGCTTCTCTAACTTCTCAAACTGCATCACATCCACCGGAGGCCAACAATCGTTGTGTTTTTGGACATCCGATCAGTATTTGGTTCATTAGATAGACCTGCGTTGTGGAACAGTTTACTGAAGATAGTTGTGCCCGACATGTTTGTAACCATCCTGAAAGAACTTTACAGTCACACGTCGGGCAAAGTCAGGGCTTACGGTACGCGCTCTTCTTCGTTTGCTGTGCCCAGCAGTGTTCGCCAAGATTGCCCTATTTCAACTTTCCTTTTTAATATTGCCATCGAAGATGTCGTCCAAAGAGCACTGGAAGGTGTCCATATCTGCGGTGTTGAGCTCCTCCTATTAGACGGATTCACGGACCTGGACTTCGCCAATGATATCGCCTTGCTAGAGGGAGACGACACACAAACCGTCCAGAGCGTTTTGGACCGCTCAGCGATGGAGGCTTCTAAGTGCAGCTTATGCTTCTCTCTGGGAAAATGTAAAACGCTGCTCTAGGACTGGCAGGTGCCTGAACCTGCGCTCATCATTGCTGGACAGGTTCTGGAGCAAGTCCCTTGCTTTACTTATCTAATGATTTGCATCACGTCTGGTAGCGGTGTTGGAGATGAATTCTCACAACGGATTGCAAAGGCTTGCCTTGCATTGATCAAACTGAGACACCTATGGCGTCGTTGTGATGTCGATCTTAAGCTCAAGGGCAGAGTGTACAATGCTTCCATCCGTGCCGTACTCTTATACGGCTGTGAGACGGCCTATTCGCTCGGAAAACAATCGCTGTCTACGAAGGATTGGTCGGGTGTGGTGACAGCATCACATAAGCAACGAACAGGTCCGAAACCAAGTACTTGGAACGAGTAGTGTCAGTCTTCCGAACGTTATTCTCCGACATCGCATGCGTTGGCTCGGGCACGTTTTGCACATGCCAGCCCATCGCCTTTTACGTCGAGCGCTATTTGCACTCCCAGGGAGCGATTGGAATAATTGCCGAGGAGAAAAATCAGCCAGTAGCGGAGCCACGAAGACTTACTGTATTTTTCGGACTATAAGGCGCATTTAAAATCCTTATATTTGCCAAAAGGTATCTGCAGTGCGCCTTATATTCCGGTGTGCCTTATGTATGAATGCTTGTGCTGAGGCCTAGCGACCTCGAATCATTTTCTCTGAAAAATCGCTTAAAAATCTGACTTTGATTGTCGAAGCATAATCGCTGGTCAGGAACCTCGTAGAGCTAGCTTTCTGTTGTCTAGACTGACTTGTTTTGCGTGTGACGAACGCTGTGCAGGAGCCAACTGATTCGAGCTTTTCTGGCGATGATAAACCGACCAACTATTCTTTCATCCATGCTGGTATCCCATACTGTGGTTTATGTGGTAGTTACTGCACCCGACAAACTCACTTGCTTGCCAGGCTAATGGCTAGAATTTACCACCCATGCTCATGTTTTTATGTGGAAGACTGCCAAAAGAATGGTTTCTTGTTGGGATCATCGTCAAGGTCAACCCAAAATCTGGATGGACGAGGAAAAACTGGGCGAGTGTCCGAGGGAAGTTTATGTCAGGAGACCTGGCTCCATGTGCACCCATCTCACCGAAACTGTCAAACGCCAAGTGAAGGAAACTAATTTGGAGCTTGCTATCATTCCGGGATGATTAACCAATGAACTCCAACCGCTAGATATTTGTGTCAACCGGGCGTTCAGTGTTAAATTACGGGCCGCGTGGGAGCATTGGATGACACAATGTGAGCACACATTTACCAAAACAGGGAGGCAACGCCTTGCTAGTTACGCCACTATCTGCCAATGGATCATCGATGCCTGGGCCAAGGTATCGGTCCCAACTGTCGTCCGAGCTCTCACGAAGGTCGAAATCATCAATGAACAGGCAAACAAGGACTATGAGACTGACTCAGATGATGAGGAGAGGGATCCGGGTTTGCTTGATGCCGCTTTCGCCCAACTGTTAAACTCCGACACTGTCGATGAAGCATTTGAGGGATTTGTAGAAGAGGAATGATTGAAAAAGTGGGTGTATTTTTCTGTGTTTTATGTGTGTTACAATGGAACAATATTGACAGTTATTGTTAGTGAGTTGAATTAAGTTTCACCTATCCGACTATTTTGTTTCGCTTTATGCGCCTTACATATGAAATTAGATCCGTTCATTGATACTGCGTCTTCTAATCCGGTGCATCTTATCTTCCGATAGATGCGATACTTCTATGCATCCTTTGTTCAATGACCGAGTCCATGGAATTCAACTTCCTTTGATTCCGTCTGTCTACAACTTGCTGTGACTTTAAGTCCACCTTTGTAGCACAAACGTTTGGCTATTTGTTATGTCATATGGTTCTGTGATTTTTTATTTATATTTGTTATGTGGTTTATGGTTGTTAATGATGCATGAAATGGTATCCTCTTCCTAACTGCTGTCTTCCGTGTTTCTTGTTTGGAATTGTGTATGGAACTACTTGTTTCATTTTGATTGGTTCGATTTTATCCAGTCGTAAGCGCACCTGCGTCGAGATCAATGTTTCACAGGATAATTGGCCGGCGACGCAGTGCCGTGTAATGCGGTATTGGAAGTTTGTAAGGTATCTGACCGTTGCTTAGACAATCCTTTGTTCGCTGGTACCATCGCCCTCATGCTCTGGTCTCTTTGTGATCAATGGAATGTTACTGAGTCATTTTGTTTGTTTCCATTTTGTGACGCTCTTTGCCCCAATTCCCAACCGGGAAGTTATGGATCGTTAACCCGGCCCATCACATTTGGTGTATCCTGCTTGGTTTAAGATATTTCTTGTAACATTCGTTGTACTTGTTGCCGTGTAGTTCGCCTAGGTTTGACTCACTTTGTGTGTGCTCATTTTGATCGGACCAGGACGGTAAACTTTTTCGGAGCTTTTTTTATAATGTTTGCTTCCAGCACGGATACCCCACGATGGGTTCCTTCCTGCTTTAGAGTCACTACTTTGAGCTAACCTGAATTTGATATGGAACTCGTGATGTGATACTGGAGGGCTACAGTTTGTTCTTTAGGTCGCTGTGATCTGTGCGGTGTTTGGTAATTCATTGTTGGGTTTTTCCACTGTGCCTCATGTGTTCTAATTGGTGCTGTCATCTCTATTTGGACCTCTGTCCACTTTAGAGATAACCTCGGCCATTGCGATCGGTTTTTTTATCAGGTGGAGGTAGGCAGTACGACGGTGCTTGCGCAATCTCATCCCAGTGGTCTCAGCGTTAACTTGCAATCCATTGGTATTTTAATCGTCATACTGCAGAGGTGTTTGTAGCAGCGGGCGACTTCAGATATGCTTGCTAAAGTAACTTCACTAATTTTTAAATACATAAACTTGTTTATTTCTCAACTTTGCGGGATACAGT